AAAAATCAAATGTAAAAACTTTGGTGGCATAGGAAGGAGACAGCAAAGATGTATATAAATAACTAGATTAAATAACATAATGTGGTAGTGCTAATGAAATATTGGTAGTGCCGTGTGATCCTTGCCTCTCCATGTGTATGCCTCTCCCTTCGAATACAGGCTTGCTTGTAACTAGCTTCTGACTGACTAGCATGAAGTACAAGTGCTACCACGTGACTTCTGCAGCTAGGTCAAAAGAAGCTTTTCCACTTCCCTCTTCCTTGGAACACGCACTCTGCAGGGAGCCTGCTACTGTGTCGGAAGTCTATCCTGAGACCATCAGACCAGGAGGAAGCCCAGGATAACCTTACGGAAAGGTTGGGTAATGAGAGAAGTGCCTGGCCAACCATCCCAGCTGAAGTGCCAAGCATGGCTCTCTCAGACCTGGAGGTCTGTTGAGCTTTCTGAAGACTCCAGTCCAGCTGCCACCGGACCGCAATCACATGAGAGAACCCCAGAGTAAGAATTTCCTAGCCTGAGCCAGTTTCCACAGAACTTGTCGCTTGAAGACACTAGGCTGTGGAGTGGTTTGTTAGGCAGCACTAAATAAAAAGCACCTAACGATTTACAAAACTCCTTCATATGCATTCATTCCTTTTAGCTTTAGGCCATAGACTTATTAGTAGCTTCATTTTTCGGGTGAAAAACAAGATCAAAAATTGTCAAATACCTTGCACAAAGTTTCACTGAATGGTTCTTCTAATGTCAAAATGCAACCACTTTTCACTAGATTACAGTATGCCCCTTCAAACAGAGCAGGAATTTACTAGCAACATCTTCCTTCTATGACTCATTGACTTTTCCATGAATTTAAAATGCACAAGTTAGCTTGCTTTGGAAGAGATGACGGGGAAATTAACATTTTCTCTTTCCGCACCCTTTAAGCTAGAAACAGACATTCTTAATGAAGATGCCTTTTCTGTGAATCATTACTCAATATATTCTTTCATGACATTGTGTATGGCCGATTCTTTAAGTGATAGAAATGAAGCCTAAGATCTAATCTAAACGACCTGTACCAGTACTGAGGTAGCTAGACTTTCACACCATCGTGATAGAAAATTACTGACCAAGTCTCAATGGCTTCTGATAATTTAGACATACTTCCAAGTCTCTAGACAAAGAGGAAAAACTGTTTGAAAATATAACTGCTTCACCTTAATGTCAAATATTTCAATTATGTTTTAAATTTTTTAAGGAGTTTAAAATAATAATTTTGAAAATGAGTATCGTCAAAGAATTATATTACTATTTAGGTATATTACTGTAGTCATGAGTATGTTTTAAAAGAATGTTCATCTTTCTAAAGATATATACTGAAAAGTTTTCAGATTAAATGATATGATTCTGATATTTCACCAAAATAATTTGGGATGGGTAAGTGGAAGGGATTACAGATGAAATACAATTAGCCATAAATTGAGAGCTGAGTGAAAGAGACATGAGGGAATTCGTTATTTTAGACTTTCTCTTTCTATATGTTTGAGATTTTCCATAGTGAAAGGTTTTTAATATGCAATGCTATTGATAATGTTGAGAGAACCAACTCTTACTTTTCTTTATGTATAATATTTTCATTGATCAAATTTTAGTTTGGATCTAAATTTCAGATAGATCCAGTCTCCACATAGATGTAACTAGACAGTAATTTGACAGTTTGACTGAATCTCTAACTTATTTAAAACTTCGAATGCTACCAACAATGCTGTTATTTCTATTTAGCCCTTTTATTTAATTCAATTTTATTTTATCAGCAATACAAAATTTCAGTTCTCTTTAGTAATTTTGAAGGATAAAAAGTTGTGAATTTTTACAGTTAGCCCAGAAATAAATGCCAGCGGAGGATAAGATTTAAAACAAAGTGAAGGTTATCAAGCTACAGGTGCATTTATAGAAAGAAAGTGCCACATATCATTATCCAAACTGCATGTCCAAACGCAATCAGTAAAAACTGTGTCTATTAACATTTCGCACTCGAAAATCCAACTCTTCTTCCATGTTTCTTTCAAGTAAATTACTTTTTCCAGTTGCAGCCTCAAAATTTTTGCATAATCAATAATTTCTTCTTCATTTCTATATGACTTCACCAAATCATTTACCATGTCCAATAGATTTTTTGAAATATTTCTCTCTCTCTCTGTGTCCCTCACCTTCCCACCCAAGACTGTCCCCAATCTTCCCAATGCAGGTAAGATTCCCCTCAGATGCATAAATGCCTATTTGGAAATTCATGTCTGCTTTGTTCCTCAGTGCATTCCCAGTACTTAGTAAATTGTCTGGCCCAAAATAGGTTTTCTATTTTGTAAGAAAGGAAGGAAGGAATAAAGGGAAGTTAGGAGGAGAGGAAAAGGATGGAGATGGGAAAGGAAGAAAAAAAAGAAGGGAGAAAGGGACAAAGAGAGAGGAAACAAGGAAGGAAAGAAGGAAGGAGAGGAAGAACAAGGGAAGAAGGAAGGATTCTTTGCATTCTATTCCCACTATTTCCACCTAAAATCATAAACTCACAATTCTCTGGACCTTAAAAATATCTAGTACACTTTTCAACTTCTCCAATGCACATTCAACCAAAACTTCAAGATTCTGACAACCTCTCACCAAGTTGTAGTCCAACTATGTTTGAATTCCCGTAATAAAGAGAAATTCACTACCTCACAAAGCAATTCATTCCATTGGCAAATAATTTGCATCATTTGAAAGTTCCCCCCCACCAAAGAAGCCAAAGCACCTCTCTCTCTGTAGTTTCCACTCTTTAGTCCAGATCCTAGGATGTGGACACACACACTCGGATGGACACACACACACACACACACACACACACACACACAACTAATCTTTCTTCCAGAAGAGGGCAGTTCCTATTTTTGAATACTAGGATAATAACCATATATCTACTGAGCCTACTCATCTGGAAGCTAAACATCACAACAATTTTTCATGCAATGGTTCTGAGTTATTCAGTCATCTTGGTCCATTTCTTTAGTACATATTCTTTTGATCAATACCTCCAAGCGGGCTTTCCAGAACTGATAATAGCATTTTAAGTGTAACCAAGCCATTATAAGTAAATATATGGTACTCACATAAAACAGATGCACCCTCACCAGTTTTTACTTCAATTCTATGCATTTTAACTAATGACACACTGATAACATTGATTGGTAGTCAATAATTGCCATAGATTTTTTGGCATCAATGTCCACATGCTCTACTTACTTAAACTAGACATTTATCTTGTTTTTCTGTCTCCGACCATCCCTCTTTCTAACCTGTGTCACTAGGTATATTTTTCTAACAGTAGCCTAAGTGTTTCTCTGGTCAAAATGGATCAATGGTTCCAATGACCACAATTGAAATCACTGAATTAGTGAATTGTACTGGATGATCCTTATAAATGATGCTTCTACTCTTAGCTTTGCAAATTACCTTAAAGTACTCCCTAGAGTTTTTCACTAGAAAAAGACCAAGGTACATATTTCATTCCACTAAGTGTGAGTACATTGTATCTGAACTCCTTTTCATTTCCTCATAAAGATCTCATATTTGCTCTGCTTATTACCTATACATCTTGTACTTTTATACATATTTCTGAGGACATAAACAGTATCCCCAAACTGGTTCTATATTATATCCTCCTGAAAATTACTGAAAAATCTTCCTCCATGACTCATCCTTTTTTACATCATACTTGTCATATTCATTATCCTGCATAGCATCTAGTTTTAGTGTTTATACGGGCAAATTGAGTTTTAATATAAATTCTTCATATGACCACTGCCAACAGACTCACAATAGGTTAACAAGAGGCATCTTTGCATTTTTTTATAAGCCACAACCTGGAAAACCAAAGCTTCTTTTCAGTACAGGACATATATGTGAACCAGCAATTTTATTCTCATGGTTCAAATGCATCAGTATGATGCAGTTATGCCCTCACATCCTATCTACAAACATCCCTATGTGCATCGCTACTCCAGAAAAAGTGAAGATTATTTTGCTTGACCCAAATAAAATGCCCATTTCCATGTTAAGTCCCATCCAACCTTCACGGAACCATTCCCCCAACTTTCTACTGCTTTATCTAAAATCTTGAAAACTTCTAAAAATAAATGTTGCTGCACAGTTGAATCATTCATGCTGCATTAGCTTGGACTTATATGTTTATTTGGGAATTTTTCAATTACCCCATAAGAGTGTAGACTTCTTAAGGGCAATAATCATTTCTCCTTCTTTACAAGTATCACCAGTTCCTCAGAAAGTGCTCTGAGAATAGCGATACTAAAAATATGATTGTAAGTAACCTGAAGGAGCTAGCTGAGGATGTTCACAAAGGCTTGTAGCCAACCTCTACATTTAAAGAAAAATACTGAGAAAAAATATATAAATGATAAGCAAATAGACACAGGTTCCCATGAAACTAAAACACTGCTAGTTTCAAAAAAAAAAATGAAGCATCAAATTTCTCTTTCAACCAATAAAATCAGAGAACTAATTAACTAAATGGCAGGTGGGAAGATGTTAGACCATCCTAACTTTCTTCATCTGGGAAATAAATTTGATTAATTGTAGGTCATTTCCAACATGAAAATTCTGACAGAACACTTAAAAAATACATATCACATTTTTTCCAGCAGGTCTTTGCTTCTAGGCCTTTCCATAATTAAGTAGGCCATATATCAACATGCATTTGTATCCACCTGGTTCCAGAAAAGAACATAAGGGTTTGTTTTTCCGATAATGTGTAATCTTATTTATGACTAAATGTATGACTTATAAATTTCAATTGATTCTGAAATTCTAGCAAGTATATTTTCTACATTGTTAACAATGGAAATACACCCCTTAAAACTCTGTCTACATCAAATTTTGATCTCGTAAATTAAGGGACACAACCACCACCACAATGAATAGCACCTTCAGAAACTGAACCAGAGCTCAGGCTCATC